CTTAGCGGTTAGACCATTGACCACGCGTCCTCGAGAGGACGGAGCATGGAGTGGAGGGGCGGGGGGTGTACTCAAAATAGTCGTGCATGCCGTTGTCGTTAGACCATTGACTTCGCACCCCTGCATAGCCGGGATGGAGCACGCCGGGTTCTCACAGGACCAGGCTCTCACATCACCAAGCGCGAAGCTCCGTGAGGTATTCAGCGAGTCGCATGAAGGGTGAGCTGCATCCTGCTAGGGTGTTCGGCATCTTGTGCTTACTTCATTGTGTGCGTATGACAGCTGCGTATGACTTAATTTTTTTTCTTTTTACTTCCTGAGACAGTTGTTAGCTCTGTGTAACTGCCTCGAGGGTGCTTGACCATTTCAACACAACGCGGTGCGATTATCCCCTTTGCGCGGAGCGAGGGTTCTCGACCCCGCACAACATGATCAACTAGACCACCATTGTGGATACCGCCCAAAAACAAAAACAGAGGAAACAAACAAGCGGTAACGTGGTTGCCGAGTTCACGAAGTGATCGGCTTGTTTTACAACACCGCTGCCAAGCGACAAAAACCCGGGGGGGCGGGGGGGGGGGGGGTACTCATAGTCGTGCATGCCGTAGTCGTTAGACCATTGACCTCGCATCCCTACAAAGCCGGGACGGAGCACGCCGGGTTCTCACCGGACCAGGCTCTCACATCACCAAGCGCGAAGCGCCGTGAGATATTCGGCGAGTCGCATGAAGGGTGCGCTNTATCGTGCTCTCGAGAGCGCTGTTGAAGAAACGGTCGCAAGCCTGTGATAGTTTAGGTCGTAACGGAGCGCCGTTGCTGCTCCCAGGAGAGGAAGCCACACTGTCTCTCGACGCATAAGGGTATGGAAAAAACGTCCTATTCGTGTGAGTGCTACGAGCAAAGGCGTAAGACGTGCGGACGGACATCTTCTTTCCATGTACGCGGCAGGCAGGCAGTCTCCAGACAAAAACGCACCTGCGTGCTGAGAATGTTTCGCTTGCACAGCTCGCAGGTCTGGTTCGACGAGACGTAGATGCTCCTCTGCTGTAGCTCCACAATTTCGGCCTGCCACAAAAACGGGAAAACACAGAAGTTGCGAGCAAAGTTGTACGTGAGGACACAATTATCAATAATACATCCGAAAAGAATCGTTTTTTTCTGCCACAAATCGCCTCCCAAGAGCTCAAAAGCGTTGGGGCAATTCACAGAATAAATGGCCCGGCAAATGACTTGTTACAAGACAAAAGATGCCCATCAAAAGAACGCCACGTGCTCGATGCATACAGTACTCAGCCATACAACAACGACCCTCCTCATCTCGCCCGCATGTCTCCCAACTTGCCACCTCGAAAGGCCAAACACACGTATGCATAGCAGCAGTCGAGGGTCCTCTATAGTGCACGGTTGGGCCCTATGGAGGGCGGGGACCCTCTAGACTACTAATAGAGGGGCGGGTGGCCAGTTCGGGGCGGTGAACTCTCTTATTGCTTGGGACGGATGGAGATAATCAAGTAGTCCAGTGCTTTGGAAAAGGCGGTTGCTCTCTACACAATGGCGGGGTGACTCGGACTGGCACGTGCCAGCCAAATAAAAGGGTTCCGACTGCTGTATCTTACCAGAATCGAAGGATTGTAGTACCCACCCAAGTAATGACGTATCGCCAACCGCCCCGTTCTCCATGAACAAGAAAAAAAAAAAAACGCTACTATACATAACACCGCACAGACAGACAACAGTCCTCCGAGAAACCACAGCAGGAAGGGAACAACAAGCTTCCAAGGCACACCCACACCACCATGCACACAAGCATGTGAAGACATAGACCAAATCACCTGCACCGCCTCCGAGCTAAGCGTGTAGTCCTCCATCTCCTTCCTGAGGCTCTCGATCTTACCGTTATACTCCTCCAGGGACACGCAGATCTCCCTCTTGAAGCTGTCGATCACCACAAAGTCCGGGAAGAAGGGAAGGATGTCCTCGATCTTGAGCAAGTCGCATTCCTGCCGGGGGAAGGGGTTCGGCGTGAGGATG